TAACACTGGCAACACTTCTTTTTCTTTTTTTTTTCTTTCACAATTGAAACTTTTCAAATCATGATCCCAAAACATTTCATTTTCAACACTTCCATGAGTGTAAACCTGGTCACTTTAGAGACCTCGTGTCTGAATCATAGCAAAGCTCACAATGATGCTCAAGATGCCTAAGTGCTGTCCTCCTCAGAGCTGAAGAAGAAGAGAAGATGTGAAACGTAGTAAACAAAATGGCGCCCTGTGTTTTTTACTGCATCCGGTTCAGACCCCTGACCCCTGACCCTTTGACCCTTTGACCCCAAGAGCAGTGAGGTCAGATTTTTGCATTTGATTTTCTGCATGTTTAAAACCGACCCTGTTTGTAGAGATCGCGTGATCCCAAAGCCTCCGTATGACATCACAAAGTGCACTCTGTTCACACTGACACTGAAGAGCAAACGCCGTAGAGAAATGCTTCTGGTTCTGTTCTGGTTTCAAAAAGCTTTAGAAAATTTCCATCCAAATTTTTACTAAGTATAAATCCAAGTTTAATCCAGATTCACTCAATTTATCCCTTGAATAGTTCTCGTTTAGCCCTGGTTTAGTCCTGGTGTAGTCCTGGTTTAGTCCTGGTGTAGTCCAAGTCCTGATTTGGTTTAGTCTTTGTTTAGCCCTAGTTTATTCCATGTTTAGTCCTGGTTTAGTTCACCTCTACTCTTTTGTTTAAATCTGGTTAGTATACTTGTTTTAGGTTACTCTTTCACTTAGTCTTTAGTTCAGACTTGGTTTAATCCTGGTTCAGCTCGTGAATCACATCTGTATAACTCGATATCTTAGTTGAATTTTGGATCAATAAAACCCCAAGCCAGCGTTCTTCACACTCCGTTCATCTGAGCAGAGGTGCAGATGTGAACAGAGAGCACTGTGTGTCACTTTGAAACGTTTCACTTTTGTCCCATAAGAAGCAGCTTTGTGGTTTGTGCTAACGCTAACACACTTCAGGAGCCGTACCTCAGGTTTCAGATTGTACATTTCAGATTGACTCTTTAAACATTCCCTCTTCAGAAAAACAAAAGCTGAACATGGGACGTGCACATGACACTTTGTACCATGAATTTGAGCCTTGTTTATAGCAAGCGTCAATGTAAATGTTGTTTAGTGGTCAAGGATTATGATGCCTCCCCGTCATTTTCCTCCTCACAGCCCAAACTCTTAAGTAGAGAAAGAGCTTTGTGATTGTTCATTGTTTGGATTGCCAGTGCCACTGAAGTCTTATTAGAGGGCTGGGTTTGGCTTGTGTTTCCAATGCAATGACAAGATGGACTATGCAAAACATTAAAGATGCACTTTGTAACTTTTCTTGGGCGGTTCTGCCATGGAAGAATAAGAAGATCTGAAGATGAACTGAAGAGGACATCGTATTCTTTCACTGGTCTGAGCTCACTGGCACCAAATGCCAAAACATATTTTTTCTTCCACATCATTTCCTCAATACTTGCCCAGCTCCTCCGACCCGTGTGATGACAGAAACATGCATCACGTTATCAGTTTTGACCAATCAGAGCGAGAGCTGTTAGAGCAGAGTGTCAAGCTCAGAGTGCAGCGAGGATAAATATTACAAAACTAACTTTGAGGAGCTTTGAGGATTTAAAAGTTCATGTTGTGAAAATACAAAAGAATCCTAAAAAAAACCCTGTCCTTTGTGAGAGCCGGATGCCCTGTCTGAACACGGGCACTTTGATTTCCCCATATTATTAACACATTATGTTCTATGGGAGTTTTGTTTCTGGGCCAGAGGTCCAGGAGCTGCACCAGGACAGAGGGGAGTGTCCAGTTCTTATGGTGTGTCCGTTTATCCATCCGACTCAAAGGTCAGAGGACGTTGCCTAATGACACACACTGACACGGAACTCAGAAGAACTCAGAACTCTGAAGAGCTCGGACGAGACCAGGAAGAATTCCCAGATAGAATCTAAGATGGCTGTGCCCAGTGACACTTGTAGTATGAAGTGTTTTCATTGTGTTTGGAGCTTTGGTGGTTAAAAATGACCATTTCAGTCACGCGTATTACTGCAATACTTTAGTGTGTCTGTTGGTGCCAAAATGATCAACTATCACGCGACACCAACACTTTTACTTCACTAATATACTGAATTTATACTGAATTCTTCCTGGAGATTGTGTAGTTGAAGCACAGACTTATTTTGGAGCCTGATACTCGGCCAGTGGTAAAGCAACAACAGCTTTCTGGTTTAGCGTCCATGTTTTTCTCCGAGTGAGACACACAAAACATAATAAAACGGCTGAAGTTTTGTGACTTCATATCCGAGATCCGAGTGGGAGACGGGCGGATAAACGAACTCAGCATTATTATAGATCCATGGGTTCCGCCAATTGCTAGTCTCCATGGGGATCTTAAGTGCTTTGTATGGAAAGTTCTACATTATGGCATTAAAGAGTGTTGCATGTATTCAGTTTTTACCTTGAAAAAGGTCGATAGATAGTTTAATACCATACTGTGGAACATTCTGAGCAATCAGGGGGCAGAACTTCCAACAGAAAGTTACATACTGCATCTTTAAACTGGTCAAACTAGAAAAATAAAATCATGCCAATTCCATGTATGCCGAGGTCTAAGGAGGCCGTCACATAAAAGAGAGCATTTCAGTGTTATTCATGCACGTTCTTTCCAGGGTTTTGTAAACAAGGACACTGAGAATATTTCACATGTCTTTCCTTGGACAGAATGCAGTTTGAAAATAGTTCTCATTGGAAACACAGATCCTTGACTGAGTGTAAACAAAGCATTTTTCCATTGTGGCTTTACACAGATAAGATTGGGTTCAGTCTGCGATAGTCAAGGCACTCACTTCACCCAATGATAGTACGAGTTTCAGCACTCCCTCGTTTTACAAGGAAAACTCCACACACACAACCTTAAAGTGCATAGGACAGGTTAACATTTCACTCAACAACATTAGATTTGAGATTTTTGAGTTTATCATTTCACTTCTTGATTGGACGTGAGCAGCAGATGCGACATACTGTACATAGACGTGATTTCATAACTGTTACCTAGCAACCACGATGTAAACAAGGACCAAAACTCATCTAAATTGCACGACAGTTGTGATTGTACTAATAAATAAAATAAAATGACAGCACCTTAACTTTGCTAAATGAAGGACTGCCAGAAAAATGCATACATTGCCTCTGCATTTTGGATGGAGTTTAAGTAAAGGGATTCTGTTTTACAACTCAGCGCTACTTTCTGTATTTTTGTACTTTTCTTTTCTGCACATCTGCCACTGAACTCATGTAAAACTGTGATAAATATCCCATTAAACCAAGTCAGAATTAGAAAACTATGAAAACCTGTCGTATGCACTTTAAACTTCCCTTGGACTTTGAGCCAGTTGGACATTTGAGTTTGACCCTGTTCAGTTTTCAATCTTTCACAAAGACATAGTTAAGTGCATTTTCAGGGTTTATATGATATGTGACACAGGCGATTGCAGCATGGGCGTTCTATCTCCTCTTTTACCAAGAAATCCCCAAAGAAAAAACTCAACAAGCATTTAACACATTTACTCAACATCGAACCCACCAGGGACGGTACTCTTTTTTCGATTAGCAAAAACATACTATGCATGCGGACTAAGTCTTAAAATGGAGAAGGAACTCAATAAGAAAGAATCGTACACGTGTAAATTATTATTGCACAAGAAAAGGCTCGTAGTTTTGCGTCGATGCAGGAGTATTGCCCCGATACGGATCATGCATCATGGAATGGAGTCGGGCTGAGCTCCGCTGGATCTGACCCAGGAGGAGAGAGGGGGCGGGGCAAATCTACAGGGGACCAATGAGCTGCAAAGGGGAAACTGCAAAAGAATGTACCTGAGTTTGAAAGGAAATGAAGTCACAATATTTGGAGTAGTTTTGAACAATTAAGATTTGTTAAAAGCAGGATTCTGCTTATAGTGCATTGTAAACATTCCCATTTGAGAGAAGACTGAAACTAACTAATAAACTTAACAAATCTAAGAAACGGTTGAATGTCAGAACAAATGATTGGACTTAAATTAAAAAGGGGGTAGTGCACTTCTAACTGCAAACATAATATATCTAGAATTCCCCTCCCCTTGCTCTTCACCCTTAGTAACTCCCCGTTCAGAGCGCTCTCACATTACAGTCAGCGTGTATCCCTCTAATGCCGGGCGTACACTGAGCCTTATTTTCAATCATTTCACTCAGCCCCAGCTCAAACTGTATGACCAAATCACAGCTCGAGAATCATGTTCTCACACTGTACGAACTACAACAGTGAGAGGCGACAGGTTTGATATTCTTGCGATATACGATTCATTGGGAGCTGGTTGTGAGGTATTAATCGGTTCTCGTTACTCCATGTTTACTACACGAAGCACGACGCACGATTAAGCCAAAACTCAATCCCAGAAACAGTCGCATGAGTGAAAAATCAGCTCAGAAATCACCAAAAATCGTACAGTGTACGCCCGGCTTAATGAAACTAATGTACATCGCATCAGGTTTGTCAAGTTACTGTGTACAGTTTTGTTTCATGTTTTTTGTGTATTTATTTAGAAATGCCGTGTGGGTGATGTACGGCTGTGGGCAAAGTACAGTGGGACAGAATTAGGCTCGGGAGTGATCGTTAAAATACTCTCAGATGCATGGATTTAAATTTAAAACCTCTTCAGGCATGTTTTTGATGAGGTAACAATGTTATAACATGGTAGAAAACTTACTGCCCCCTCTTTAATTTTATGAACAGAATCTTGAATTCTTTCAGATCTGTTTTATTCTTTGTTATTATGTTGTAATGTGTGACCTACTGTGTCCAAGTCTTTCCTCTTATGGATCGATAATTTAAGTCTAAATGTGACAATAAACCTTAATTGAGCAAAACTACTCCTCCCACGATTCTGAATTGACTTCCTTTAAACTCTGTAGACGTTTCTCTGTGCAGCTTTCAGTCTGGTCAGTCTTAAACAGTTTGTTTTTTATTCCGACTTAATCTCGGTACTGAGCGGCCGGTCACTGTGCCACTTTTTCATGTGTTTCTCCAAGGTGCTGTAGACGCTGAAGGGCATCTGGCATATTTCGCACTTGTACACGTCCTTGCCCACCTGCCCGTGTGTCTTCATGTGTCGTGTGAGTTTGGAGCTCTGGGCGCAGGCATAGTTACACAGCTCACATTTGTACGGCCGCTCCCCCGTGTGGCTGCGCCGGTGTACTGTCAGATTACTGCAGTTCTTGAATACTTTGCCACAGTACTCACAAGTATCGCTCCGTCGCCCGTCCTTGGAACTGGGCCTGCCGGGACCCCCTAAATGCGGCGTGCTCCCCCCGCTCCCCGTGCCGCTCCGGCCGGACAGACCTCCGTCCAGCTCACCCGGGGGAGTGGAGAAGCGCAGGCTGCCGTTTTCAGACGAATGCTCCGACGAAGAAGCAAATGGCGATTGTCTAGAGTCCCCGAAGTTTAGAAAAGGGTCCTTGAGTTGTCGTGAAGCAGCGTATCCGGCCAGCCACTGCGAGTAGACGTTTTCCGTGTTTGGGATAGTAGGAGTGGGAATGTCAAACTCTTTCTCCAGTTTTATGCGCTTGGAAAAGGGGCTGAGCGGGCTAGGACTCCCCAACAGCAGTTTCTTGGAGATTCCAACCGAAGCGGACTCGTTTGGAGACGCTCCTCTTCCGTTAACAGTCGCCATCTCGTCTCCGCGTTCGTTTTCCAAAATGGATTCTGCGTCGCACAAGTCTCTCTGGAGGAGGTGGTGATGGTCGCGGTTCAGATGGTGGTGGTTTAGGTGATTTTCTTGGGCAAGTGCATTCCGTTTGTGCGCGCTCAAAGCTTCGCTGAAATGCTGCATGCTGGCCGCTAACCCCATCCCTTGCATCACCTCCGGCAGCGACCTCGGAATGGCCGACTCTTCCAAACGATTCCCGATGCTCCCGTTGTTTTCGTGAGGCCTCCCGTCCAGATTCAAGCTAAAGTGGAAGCTGTTGTTGCGTCTCTCCATACGTTCGCCGTTTTGGGTCACCTCCATTTCCTCTTCCTCCTCTTCTTCCTCCTCTTCTTCCTCCTCCTCCTCTTCTTCCTCCTCCTCCTCATCCTCCTCCTCCTCTCCGTTTTCCCGAAGCAGACGGCCGTTTTCACTTTTCAATTTGGCCACCACGGATTTGAGGGCGTTGCTGGCCATGTGTTCGCTGGTCCCCGGTTCCGGCGAGGACGCGGTGGACAGCCCGTCTTCGGATTTGGCGGCGTTGGGAGACGAGGAGGACTTGTGCAGGTGTGTCTTCATGTGGCGCTTCAGTTTGCTCGCTTGTGTGCAGGCGTGGTCACACAGGTGGCACTTGTACGGCTTCTCTCCCGTATGGCTTCGGCGATGCACGATCAGATTGCTTTGGAACTTGAAGGACTTTCCGCAGAATTCGCAACATTTCGTCTTCATGTTGGCGCTGGCAGAGTTACTAGCTCCAGAGGACGGTACGGGAGTGGTTGGAGTGGTTTGCGATCCCACTGGAGACTGCATGGAGTTGGGGATAGGAGGTGGGGTTGCGAGATAGGGCGGTTTGCTGGCTCCGGTTACACTCCCTCCATTACCTGCCGTTTGGAAAGGCTGGAGGAGACGCTGCATTGGACTGGGCCGACTCGGGGACAGCGGAGGAGAGGGCGCCGAGCTGTTGCCCGCTAGCTCGCGTAGCCGCCTGGAGAAGTCCATGGAGGGAGGAGGGTCCAGGGGAAGGGGAGGATTGAGACGCAGCACCCGATCGAAGGCACTCGGATGGTGGGCAGCCAAAGCTAGCTCCTCTGGGCTCAGATGGTGCGGCTCCAGGTGGTTTCTCGGAGGCGGGCTGAAGAGCGGAGGAGTGGGAGGGAATCGCTGATGATGCCCTCCCGTCGCTGCACCAATGCTAGCGCCCCCCACTGTCCCGACGCTGTCCCTGCCCCCGGAGCCCGAGCCCGGGATGCGCAGCAGGTTGAAGGGGCTGGCGTCTGGAGGCAGGTGGAGGCCGTGGAGGGGCGGTTGGGAGGGACAGTCCGCTCCTCCGCCCAAAGAAGAGGGACCCCCCATGCGCGGCGTGAGGGGGCTGCCCAGCTCCGAGTCCAGGTAGATCCGGAAGCCGTGGCTGTGCTGGGCGTGCTGCAGGAGGAACCAGGCGCTGCCATAGGCCTGTTTACAGGTGGTGCAGGTGTAGGTGGTCGGCTCCTCCTTCCCTGAAACACAGAGAGAGAAAGATAGAGGGGGTGAGTACAGGACAGTTTACACAGGAATTATTCATGTTTGTGAGGCTGGTGCGATCTAAATATCGACCAACAGGGCTCTTTTATGCTTAAGATCCATTCAAACCAGAGCATCAAGGTGTCCAGTTAACATGCAAAGTCTATGGGGGCGCGTGTCTAGAGTGTTGGTGTCAGAAGTTGAAAATGTTGAACTTTTGGCTTCGGACGCACAGCCTCAACCAATCAAGGACTACTATCTAGTGGCATAGCCACGTTATTATCCAGAAGAAGGAGAAACAGACAGGGCGGGAAGACACAAACATTCATGGAGTACAGCACCGCAACCACCGAGCAGCCAGGACTAAACCAGGACTGGACCAGGAATAAACCAGGACTGGACTAGGACTGAACCAGGATTAAACCAGGGCTAAACCAGGACTGAACCAGGACTAAACCAGGTCTAAAGCAGGATTAGACCAGAGTCATTAGCGGAATATAAATATATAAAAGCCGAAGCCATCGAGTTGATCACCTCCGCTGATGGTGTTATGTAATAAATACAGTAAAGACACTCCCGGAGCCTGGTCCATCATTCCAGGAAAAGATTGGGAAATAGCAGTTGTTGCCAGGGTAACGGGCGCCCTGGACACATCGAGGCATGTAAACTCAATGCAAAGGCTAGAGGCGTCCAGCGCGATTTTTGACGCTTCGGTCTGAATGGACCTTTACCGTATCACTCGGACACAGGAGCTCATGAGTGCAGAGAACTGGTGGTTTTCAGATTTTCGTTTTGTCTGTTCTTTACATTGTACTTTGGCATGAAAAGGTAAATCCATAAATGTTGAACTTGAGCATTTCTATTAGTGACTAGAGTCAAGAACTCACTGAATTTGAACAAAAATAAGCATTTAACAGTATCTGTTTTGGCTGACCTGACCTGTGTTATGTCATTTGTGGCAGTTGCAAATATTTGACTGTGGAACCTTCCAGACAGTGCCCTCTGTCTAATGCACACAGAACAAACACTGTGGCTGTTGTGTCCTCTGCTTCAAACGTCATAATTCCTCAAATATTTGCACTGCTTCAGAGTTTCAGTTTTATTTTTCTGTTCACATCTCACCAAGGGCCAGAGCGCTGACAGGGACACAGAAACACTCGAATATTAGAAGAAAGACACGTGAACTTTGGTAGAACTCAAACAACAACACGTTTTAATCACATCTGACCGCTCCATTTAGAAATCCATTAAATCGCAATTCAGCTGTGAATGGGAGATGAAGTGTGTTTTATGTTCAGATGTGCAGAGGTCAGAAACAGAAACAGGTGCAGATGTTTATTCGAATGATTCTTTGCACAGAAGAGCGATCAGGAGAGACAAGACTTCAACACAAAACACATTCAGACTATTTATATTTGTGTATCTAAAGAGAAGAAGGAAATAAACATTATAAACTAGGACTGAGAATTGAGATGTATTTTAATATTTTAATAAGACCGAATGGAGACACAGGGAGGGCATCTGACACACAAGGATGTTCAGATCATTCAAAAGAGCCAACACAACACACCTATTCATGGTCTTCTCATTCTCCTGTCATTTCTCTGTTTTGTATCATGTTTTTACGTGGATGTGCAAATTGAATCTAATTAAAAATCCACAGTGGAATGAGTGACCAAATATTTTTGTATCAGTACTACAGACTCATATTACTTTAGTTTTAGTTTCCATGTTTCATACATGGTCTGTTTAAAACAAAAATGGCACAGAAAAAAGGTCAACAGTTTCATAAACTAGAGTACATATGTATCTGTTCAATACATTTTTATATCAGATGCATTCACTTGAATTTTTGGCCTTGTTGTTTACTTCTGCTTGACTGGGCCCTTTAGTACTTTGACTCTGTGACAAACTTGTTGTTTTTAATACATATGTTTTCAGGAGCAGATCTCTCTCTCACCAGTGCCAGTCCAAACTCATCTGACTCCCACTGGGCTAAGTAAACATGTACACACACACACACACGTACACACACACACACACACACACACACACACATGCACAACAGCACAAACACATGTACAAACAGGGACAGAGCATATTGATTTCTCTCTCTTTCTCTTCCATCTCTCTCTTCTCTCCCTCTCTCTCATTAGCCAAAACAATATAAAAAACACCAGTTCAGATCTGTGGAGAGGCGAGCACACTTACTTACTTAAGTAAGGCATGCAGTAAACTCACCGGTAAGTACAGTTTAATACCGTAATGTGGAGCTGACCAAACAAGCATGTGCCAAAAACATACAGTACATGTAGTGCATGTGAGAGTGCATGTGAGAGTGCATGTGAGAGTGCATGTGAGAGTGCATGTGAGAGTGCACGTGAGAGTGCACGTGAGAGTGCACGTGAGAGTGCATGTGTTGGTTCTCATAGAGCAGTAAGTCAGTCCTGTAATCTGCCTGTGGTCGGGTTAAGTGTAGCCTCATGTTTTTAAATGTATACACACTTTTTTCACTCTCTCTTTTCCTCTTCTCTCTCTCATTCTTTCTCTTTAACCTCTTCTGTTTTCTCTCTCATTCACTCTCCCTCTTCTCTTTCCTTCTCCCTCTCTTATCTCTTTTCCCTCTCTCTTCCCTGCTTTCTCCTCTCCCACTCTCTCCTCTATATCTTTCCCTCCTCTCTCTTTCTTTCTCATTACTATCTCTCCCTCCCTTCCTCCTCTCTCCTTCCTCCCTCTCTTGGTCCAGTCTGGAGCTGTGGCCACAGTTGCGGGTTCTACTCCTGGACACTCACCCAAAGTGCCCAAACGCCGCCGGCTGTAATTATGATGATAATAAGAGACTTGGGTGGGTCTCCGGAGTTTTGGGGACACTTTATGAGCCGTGTGCCCACAGAGAGGTGCAGCGTGTGGGGCAGCGGTGACCAGAGGAGGCCCGGGATCACACCCTCCACCGCTCTCCTGCACCAACATGCCGCTTTAAATACTCGCAACACACGCAATATGTTTGAGAGTGTCACGAGTAAAGAATCTTAGCGGAGTAAAGACGTGAGCTGCTGATCGATTGGTCGACTAAAAAGAGGACGTGGCAAAAGATCTCAAGTCCAAACTATTTCATGTCTGTGTTTATCAGGGGGAGTTCAAGGAAAATTATTATATATGCAGAAAAAAGTATGAAAAAAGTATTAGGAAACAGGGTATTTATATATAAAGCATCTGAATCATGAATTTAATCGGACTTTTTTTGCAGAGAAATAAGAAAAAACAAATCTTCAAATCCAAATCTTCAGCTTTCTCTCTTCTACTTTCTCCTTTTGTCCCATTGAAGTCCTGATCATCAAAATAAAATAAATATTTGACACAAACACAATGTCCGATCAGTCAGCCTACAGCCCGAATTCAGAAAATATGATGTCAATCCAACATAAATGATTAAAACAGTGAATTACTTATACTTATAAGCTCAAACTTTCCACTTCCACTTGGAAACAATGGTCTTATAACGTTAAAAAAAAAAATTATAATAATTTGAAACATGAAGGAGTTCTGAGGGTGACAGCAGTGACCTAAATTTGAACAGAACAAAAAAATGTATATGTATACAATGTACAATACTATTAATATATATAAATAATTTTACCTACAAGTTTTAACACAAATGCTAAATTACAAGTTGCCCCTAATCGCCTCTTGGCTTCCTGTTCACACTTATCCAGTTCAGTTTATTACTAGTTATTGATACTTGTCAACAATCCAACCTGTTACTGGTACAAACTCTAATTTCCTGCACTACTTTAAAGGTCATATACTACGCAAAATGGACTCGTGAGCTTTAAACCAGGTTAGAATGTTGTCACCTCCTCAAAAACAGAGCTGGAGTTGTGTTTTGTTTCAGTCACACATGTTTGAGTAACTCTTTATTATTCACCTGTCTACATCTCCAAAGCTCAAAATGCTCTGTTCTACTTTGTGATGTCATGAAGCGGTACTGTAGTTTTCAAGTGAACAGCTTGTTTTACCATTTATTCAGTAAACATTGGCAGTTCCAGGACTGAAAAAGTCTCCAAATGATTCTAGTGAAGGTGTGTGAAGTTTCTAAACACAGTGGAGCCCTTCCTGTATTTTTATTTATTTATTTTTTTTGGTCTTGTCTTGGATTTGACTGCCTTTGGACTCAATCTTGTCTTGGTCTCAAGGTCTGACCCTCGACCAGTGATAAAATAGTGATAGATTTATAAGATATTGAAATATATGGGCCAAAATAACTGTAAAATATAAATAAATGTAGAACATGACAAAGATGGTCTCGATTTGGTCTCCATGAGGTGTGGTCTTAGTCTTGTCTGAGTCTCAGACTTTAAAAGTCTCGGTCTTGTCTCAGTCTCGGCCTTTAATAGTCTCTTGCCTTGGTCTCAGGGACTTGTGGTCTCGGGCAGGTCTTGGTCTCAGTTAGTGTGGTCCTGACTACAACACTAAGGCCCCGTTCACACTAGTGTGTATTCGAGTCGTTTTCATTGTGGATGCAGTGTTCGTTCGGATTGAAAACGGCTCCAGAGACGGAACAATCTGGTGCCTCCATCTTCCATGAATTCATCTGAGTACAGATCTGATCCAGCACTGTGTGGACGCCTGAAAACACTGATATTCTGATGTAGGTATATGTGTCGCGAAGTAGCTAACTCAGCCCCAAAACACTCAGAAGCTAGAATATATGTCCATTCATATAAACGGTCTATGCATATGATCATACGAAACGACGTGTCGGGATGCAGATCATTTCTGATATGCTGATACGGTGATACACAGATTCATTTCAGTGTAAATGGGTCTAACACTACCACCTGACATCACAAGATGGAACAGAGCATTTACTGTTTGAGTGAGATCACAAACTAGTGTAATATGTTTCCTTTAAACATGTCACTTACACATTTTATCTGCTCAAACATCAGTAAAATACATGTGAACAAAAGACATACATTGACTTGAGGTTTTTTCA